TAGAATAGCAGTATCCAAAATTGACATGAAGCTTGAACTCAATGCTTTAACATTCTCTGACCTAACTCCTGAGTGAACATTAGTAGTTATGGCACAGTACCGAATAAAGGTCAAAAATGAAACATTTCAAACTTCTGAATTAATTGGTTACGACAAAATCAAGATTCTTGCTTTATTTTATGAATGAATGAATTTGGATGACATTACGAAACTTCATGCACATCTTAAAACATTTTATCTATGACAGCCTATTAAGGTTTTACAAAGCGCCATCAAGTGGTCAAAAGCTATAACAATATTTTCAAATACGGTTACAGCTTTGTCCAATGGCCATAAATCTCACGATCTTTCTAATCCATCCACATATCAGAAGCCAAAATCATTCTTTAGTTGTAAATATCTTTTATTTTTACAGCTAAAATGCACAAGTCAGACTCGGGCCACTTTTAGACCGCGGCGGCCCAATATGGATAGCAGGTGCTGGACCAGGAAAAGTGCCAAAGGCGAGAGCATAAACAAATGAAACAAAGACCACCCTGGTGACTGTGTCAACTCTAAGACATAGAGACTCAGATTCAACGATACTGGTCTTTGCATGATCCAACTACTTTGCATTTTATTGAATCACTTTGTCTTATAAACAAACACAGAACTTAGTTTTTCCAGGATTCATGGTTGTTTTAATCAATCCTTCAAATCACTAACACCACATGCGGCCCTGAAGATATTTTAAGAGCAACGTGTGCTAATCCTTGCTAGAATTTTCTACCGAGCAAAAGACCAAAAATATCCACAATCCAATTTATCTCCCTCCGAATCTTTTGGCTTAGCTGAATATCGGATCCATCTTTTCAGGAAGCATTTTTGGCACCTGAAGCGGGCTCATGGGGGTTCTCGAAGTACTGTTGATACTTCGGTTGTCCGTTGGTCTATTTCAGGATCTCACAATCCAATTTGCCAAAGGAGGAGTGCCTGGCCTTTTCGCCCTGTGCTTAAAACAACACTCGGTGAGCTGCCTTGTCGAAGGGAACTGTGGGAGCGAGAGACCACCGTGCATCTTTTAGCTACTTGCGTTGAGCTCAAATTTAGCAGAACAAGTTTGGGCCAAGACTCAAAACTTCAAAGTGCAGCTTGCGTTTCATGACACGTCTTTGCTTCCCTTGAAACACAAAACCACCATTACTCTGTTTATAATTAAGCAGAGCAAATTAGCCAGTGTCATGTGCTGGACAGAGAGGACTCCTTCCCATTAGCTTTTGCAACAACCATGAAAGTAGAACATACTTGTCAACCCTCCCATTTTTGGGGGGATTCTCCTATATTTTACAATTATATGAGGTATTTTATATATGAGGTATATTAAGGTATTTTCTCGTATTTTTAATCTTTCTATGAAGGGTGGCAATAAACATTACAGAAAAAATCCTCTCTATACGCAACCCATAACGCCAAACCACCAGGGGATGCCCCTTGCTCTTAAATGTGAATCTGTTCTGTGCTTTTATTTTATTTAGGCATTAATTGCAAACACTTTGAAATAAATATAAAAACAACAGGATTCCCTTCCTTTCTAATACAGGCACTGTTGCCATTCCTATGCAATCCTCAAGTCAATCACTGTTGCCATGCGAAACACTCCATAGTGATAAACAGTCGCCACTTTCCAAATGGATTCTGTACATGCAATTTACAGTGGAGCGAAAATGGACACTCTGGGTTTTGGGTGTGAGTTTGAACAGACATATACACATATTAATAATATTAATAATATTAATAATGATGATGATGATGATGACAATGTGGGGTTTCTTTTAAACACAACTAGTTTTGAAAGCAATCAAATGCTTTTGTTATGGATCTGTGCATTTTTAAAGTGACACCTCTGTTATTTAATGTAAACAAACGAAAAATCTAAATGAGAGATTCATTCGCTGCTCTTTAATCAGAATGTTTAAGCTACACAGTGAAGAAAAGGTTAATCAGATTTGATAACTTGATTAAATTTCTTTATAATAGCTATTAATTTGAATAGGCTCAACTGTTTGCTAATTTATTCCCAGCTTTTTCCAATGTACACTACCGGTCAAAAGTTTGGGGTCAGTGGGATTTTTAAATGTTTAAAATAAGCTTCTCTTGCTCACCAAGGCTGCATTTATTTAATCAAAAATGCAGTAAAAATTGTAAAACTGTGAAATGTTATAGTGCTACAAAATAACTTTAAAACTGGTTCATACAGGTATATTAATAAATTTATTCCAGTGATTTTAATGATGAATTTTCAGCTTCTAACTCTAATCTTCAGAGTCACATGATCCTTCAGAAATCACTCTACGATTAATTATTATTTTTATTAAAATATTATTATTATTATTATTAATGGTAATAGTAATAAAAGCAATAAGGACTGGACTAATATTTTAATTTGAAAATGCATAAAATAAGTAATAAATAAATATTTAATAAATAAGTGTTTAATAATGCAACATTTTTTATTTTATTTTTTATTTTATTTCATTTATTACATTTAATAAATGATGAACAGAATAATTTTCTTAAAAAAAACAAACATGAAAAAAAAAGTTAGCCAACCCCAATTTTTTGACCGGTAGTGTATACCATTTATTTTTATACCTTGTAAACAATAATAACAACAATAATAATAACACTAATAACAATAATAATAAAAATAATAATATTAATAATACTAATAAAACCTATTACTGACCGTTTTAATGGTTCATTTACAATGAAACATCTACAGACGAACATATTTAGTAGTTTTGGAATTTTAATTTTTATGTGAAAAAATATTTTATTTACTATGTGAAAATAAGTAAATATAATAAATAAAATATTAATATACTTTTGTGTGAAAATGAGGGGGATTACCCCTTTTTTTCCACATGCCAATGTTGACAGTAGAATCTTCAAAATCTTATAATTCATAATCAATAAGCACTACACTTCTTAAATTCAAAACTTTAAGAAACGTTTCTGAAAAGATGGCTTTGTGTGAAAGGTAAAAGCTCCCAAATAAAATGAACGTTTTATTCCTGAAACATTGATTTAGTCAAAAGTGACCAATATCTTTTTTTTTTTTTTTTGTAGCTGTCATGTTGAACTTGTACATGAATATGTACAGCAAAAACACATGTGACGCATGGGGCGGCAGTGATTAAATAACATTTCCCCTTACTCGATCACTTCCTTAAAAAAGTTTCTGTGACCTTACTGTCAAAACACGCATTAAAATAAGAAAAGAAATTGTGTCACTTCTGTGAGTTTATTGAGAAGTCCTGAGAAGAAACCGTTCAATGCTCGACCAAGACAGCCACCTGCAACTGCTAAACATGGAGAACCCACATGTGCAGGTTTAACCACACACACACAGCTAATGCACATGAATATAGCACAAGCACAAGCCACAGCTGAGTGCTTCAAATAGAGCAAAACGTTGCAGCATCTGTGGGCTTTACAGCTTATGACATAAAATATACATGAGTTACTGTACAGTTAAACCTCAAGTGCTTGTTTTAATAGCTAACAAGCTAGCATGGATAATATTTTCACTAAGATTTTTTATGTTTTGTTGGTCCTTCTAATTGTGTCTACTTTCTAAACAATTAACATAGAATAGGTAAAAGCAACAAAAAAATGAACTGAATGAATGGTTCTAAATACTCCTTTCTAGGTAAGAAGTAAAGTGTTATAGATGTTGAACATTCAATTGGCAGGTGTGTATCTCCATGTGTATTATAACCAGTGAAATAAGTTACAACCATAGCAGGATACTGGCATTAGCATTGATGCACTGCCTGAATTATTTGTTGTGGTAACCTGTTCCGGTCCGCCATGTTGATCTGAAATTGCTGTGGTGTCTTTGGTCAGACATCCTGCTGACATGTGTGCTTCTGATGCCTTAAGCAAATCTAATTAAATAAGGTCAGCACTAAAACAAAGAAAAACAATTACCTTGCATGCCCTCCCTATGACCAAAGACCAGAATAAGCTTATGCAGGAAGAATGCGAGAGCAACAAGGCCTTTTAGCAGTTTCCATTAACTAGGCAGAGGTCAGGATGGTTGACTAATCATCCAAAACTAAATTTGACTGTAATTTAACATGCAACTTCTAAAACAGAGTTTCCGCATGCTAATCCCCAAGGAACACATCTGTTTTTAAATGAGCAAGACATGCAAAGGCACAAATTTTGTCATCAGATGAGCATGAGCATAATGTCTGTTCAGTTTTTGCACACACAGCTCACACAATCACTTGGAGTTTGTCCAAAAGGTGGCAACACTAAACCGGGCTGTTGGTTTATTGATAAAATAAGAACAACAAACTACTGAAGACAACAAAAAAGACCGCACAAAAAACAGAACCCCATGTTTATGAGTGAAAGCATTAAGATATACTCACAACTACTAAAAAAATAAATAAATGAAAGACAATTTTTAATCACTTATAACTTCTGATGGAAAAAAAATGTGTTTAATTGTGTGCATATGCATTCTGATGTTTTCAGCTGTGCTCAAAAATTTATTTTTAAAAAGTAAAACTAGGCTGCACCTGAAATCGCATACTTCCATACTATGTAGTACCCTAAAAAGTGTATGCAAGTTTAGTATGTCCAAATTCAAAGAATTCTAAAAACGGTGTGCGAGAAGTACCCGAATGATCTACTACTTCAGGCAATATTCGGTGAGTGTGCATTTGATGCACGTTACGCTATCCCATGCTACCCCAAAAGTGAAGTCAGGAATGAGAGTGATGTGATGACGTGGGTAGGGCACGTGATAATGACAAAATGGCAGATGCATTACGTCAAAATTCCATTCACACTGCACATATTCATACTGCATAGAACGCACTTTACTAACAGCAGAGTAGTAAATTTAAATTCGCATGCAGTATCTTTTGAATAGTAGGTGATTTCAGATGCAGCCCTACTCTTTACTCAAAACAAACCAGCTAATGAATGAACTATTTAATACTTACATATAATGGGGCTTGCTGTGGATTCAGTTTCATGGCACTGGCCACTGTGGAAAGAAAACAGGGAGAGAATTAGCATTTCTAAAAACAAAACAAGCAGGATGTTCAATTTATCATTCACTCTTTATATCCACAAACAAACTAGGCTTTAAACATTAGGCCACACAATGCATATCCACACAAACTGCAACCCTAAAAACTAATAGGAGCACATTGGCTTGCCTACAATCCTAATGGTCCCCCCTTCCGGGTCTTTCCATAAAAATTTAACTGCAGCTAATGAATAACTGCAAATCCATTACTTGCATCTGTTTTCAGGACTCAACAATAGGAATACCTTGGGGTTATGCTACATTCACTAAATGACATGACTTTTTAATGCATGCAAACTGAAGCAAAATGTTCTTTTTTTGTACCTTTATTGGAACAGGACAGTATAGAATGATAGGTAGTGAATTCATAGAGAGAGGTGGAACGGTCCTTGAATTAGGACCGTGTCAGTGAAAGTTAAATCAGTGCTAATAACAGCCCATTTCCACTAAATGGTATGGTTCAGTACGCTTTAATGGCTGTTTCCACTGTCAAAAGGCACCAAAAAACAAACCGTACCGTACTACTTTTTGGGTAACCTTTCGAAAGAGTACCCAGCACAACAAAAGAGTACCAAAAGGCGATGCAAGACACACAGCTGAACGCTCTTGGTTTACAAAGATATTACACTGTAACAATATATACATATAATAGCGAGCCATGGTCGACCTGAGCTTGAACAAACCTTGTCGTCTTAATGAATAGCCACAAAGCCAAAAAGATGAGCAGAAACTACCCTGTACCCCGTTGCTGTTCGATCGGTTTACTTTCTCAAACAGCTATCTTTGAAACAATGAACGTCTTGAGCTAATAAAACTAATGTGCACATGATTACAAACATGCTTTTGACTTCTGATCCTTTCAGAAACGGTCAAATGTGAGAATGAGGCATGAAAAAATAAAGGAGAAACCCGAAATAACAAAGAAGCAAATTATTTTTTCAGCAACCTAAAACATGAACATACTGTTATTTTTAACTATTATTATCACCTTTTGCACTATTATGAACTTTAATACTATTGGTACCCTTTTGGCAATGGAAACGCAAGCCTGATAAAGGTGATGTGTAGCGTACCGTACCATACCACTCAGTGGAAATGGGCCGTAAGACTTTGAGAAACGGCATAAGAAAATTGTTGCACTATTTTGCACATAATTTGGAAAACAGTTTTGTTATCTAGCTGACTAACACATAAAAACATTTATTTTAATTGCAAGAATGACTAGTGATTAGAAGCATCAACTGGAATGGACTGCAAATGACTGAAATGTACTGTACAGTAGGGTTGTAACAATATACCGGTATGACGGTTTACCACGATTTGAACGTGCACGATTATCATACCATGAACAATTGCATATCAACGGTTTTAACCCTTAAAGACCGAGACAGCCGCCCGCGGCTAAAAATAAGTATTGCTCTTAAATGTTTAATAACTTTTGATCCGCTGATCCGATTCATACAATTCAAAGATTGGCATAAAGAAGAGAATCTCAGCTTTCCAGTGCCGTATCACATAATATTCGCGGACTTTCAGAGGCTCCGGAATCAGTGCGGTTACGTCATCAACATTTGACAACGCTGATTTGACAAAGAAACGCTCGTCACTGTGTCTCCGGACAAATCAGACATGATACATTGATGCATTGTCCCTCCTCCATGCCCAGATTGGTTCAAACTCGCTATATCACAACCAATAAGCATAGGTTTCGCTTTTGTTTGTGGACCAAGCTTTTTGAACAACACGGAATGAGAGATAGGCATACATTTATGCGCGGCTAAATAAAACGCAAAAAAAAAGTTTTGCGTGAAATAATTCTCATACTAAGTACTTTTGCATGCACAGCAGCACAGAAACATGACAAAACAGTGACACAGCAAAGACGAACTGCTGCTCGTGCTGTTTTCAAAAGACGCAAATGAAGATGCAGCTGTTTGTCTGCATTGCATACAACCATATCCAAATCCATGCTGGCACATAGAACCTAAGGATGTTCCATATTGAATCTAGTTTCGTTATGTAACTATTTATAGTATAGTAAATATTTATATCTATTTTTTACTGAGGATTTGCACCATGTTTATTTGGACTTTATTTGGACTTTGACACATTATTTATTATTTTCTTATTTTTATTTGTTCATTGTAAGTGGTGTTGTTTATAGTAACTAAAAATATATTATTTGGAAAAAGTCAAATTTGCTTCACTGTTCTATTATTTTGTAACATTTGTAACATACCGTATACCGCGAAACCGTCAAACCGTGGTATTGTTTTAGACGATTATCATACCGTGAAAAACTCATACCGTTACAACCCTACTGTACAGCAAGACAGCTCAATCCTGTTCCTGGAGATCTACCTTCCTGCAGCGTTCAGCTCCCACCTAAACCAATTGGCTAGGACATGAACAGCACTTGATAATTACAGGCAAGTGTGTTTAATATGGATTGGAGCCGAAATCTGCAGGAAAGAAGATCTTCAGGAACAGGGTTGGTCACCCCTGCTGTACAGGATGTCAGGATTTCCCATAAAGAACAGCAGAGGGAAGAATGTGTGTCAATCCTTTTAATTTTTTTCTCTTACTCTACAGAGAGACTCTAATGCCAGCACATATGCCACTTGGTGGAATCTTGTGGCTGCCCGCAAAGCACATTGCCCACCTGCAAACTGCAAGTGTGTGCAACGCTTCACCCAGGCATGAAACCCAAAACCACAACACACGACAAACCCAACCACCACCACGCAGTGCTTCAGACAACACCCAAATCTCAGTTAATTCAAGAAAAAAAAAACACACTAGCAAACAATAAAACACAAATCATTTCTTTTAAATGTGACAGCTAGGAGCAACCCCAAACTCGAAGGCTGGGAAACAAGTGACATTGGAGTGTTAGCACCGCCCCCGCCTTCTGTTCCAAAGATGATAAACCGCCCCCCCAACTATTGTTCAGTTATCTATCCCGGGTGAGGTATTAGCCTTTAGGAGGTCCTTGTGGTTATCTGAGGCCCCACTCATAACCTGAATACACAGGAACAACACACACACACACTCGCATACACAGACTTTTATTAGCACAAACATTGCCCAAAACGCCGGGGACAAACATCCATTTCAAATCCAAGAAACCTTCCTTGCTGCCACCAAAACTTGAACAGAAGTACATTTCAAGTACTGCTGTTAGTGTTTAGGCACTAGTGTGCGGTTAGCATGTGCTGATGCGACAAAGTAACACCATAACAAATTCAAAAGCAAGCATAACAAATTCAGACACACAAAGTAATACACATAGCAACACTTCTTTGCACTGAATTTTATATTGAATCCCATATTCCTACTTTATTCAAATATTGTATTACATTTTATTGAGCTCCTTATAATCAGTTTGGGACATTGTTGAACGAATCATGAATGTGATGTCATCTAAAACTGAACTTAAAATGTGGTATGCTAGTACAATTTAAGATGCCTACCTTGTGGAACACCCTTCATGTCGGAAATGTGACTACGATGTCTTAAATCACTGTCTCTGCTAGCTTAGTCGATTTGAAACAGCACTGAATTTCAGTTCTCTTTAAAAAGCAGAAATTTCACTCAAACCTACCAATAAAATAGGAGTAGGCTACTGTTTTCAGGAAGTGTTAAAGATTACAACATATGAATTGTGTTGCCATACATCTTTCACTGATAAGGCAATCTCAGAGTGTCCTGACATAATCTCGGCATAAATGCACATCTAACCATCTGTAATAGTGGACAAAGTCAAAGGAAGTTGATAATCAACAAGCAGTTTCTTCTAATCATAGTCAAGATTATATAGCAATTAGCTTGGCAATTACCTAAGATTTGACTGAAGTACCATCTACTATGTGTGTTTTTTGCTTTCTGTTTTGCACTTGGAAAAAAGCAACAGGTATTATCTGTATCTGTATTAACAGGTCTTCTGCACTTTACAACAGCTAAAGACAAGTAAGTGTTAAAGTAATCATGCATTATGCAGTCAGCAGACAGTGAGGCAGCTCACTAGGTTTTGGAGATTAGGTGTTATAAACTGGACAACTGACTAATCTCCCCAATTCTGTTAATACACGGCCAGGCTACTTAACTTGAACCCCTCTATGGCTCCCGTGCCAGTGGAATTCCCAGAATACCTCTCCCCTCCCTAGTCTGCAGGAAGAGATCAGACATCCCACCTGCTGCTTTTTCCACTCATGCTGATTCACCAAGTACCCCTGCCCCAAATCCAACCCCAACCCGTTTAGCCAGCTGATCCACGTCCAAATCTCAGCTAATCAGCTAGATCTACAATGGCTAGAGAGAGGTGACGGCCCATTGTAAGCCAGGCAGTGGGAGGACAGTGTTTGTTGTTAAACTGGCTAAATGTCAACAAGTAAGTTCAGAGAACACGGCGAGCTGCTACAAAGATTGACATGAAGTGGTCGGGCATGCATAAAACCCAAACTCAGCTTTGATACGAGGTCTCCTGGACGGACCTACTGAGCCAGCACAGTGCAGAGTCAGCAAGCCAGTGGTTACCCTCAACAGATTCATGTCTAGAGGCTAGAAAGAGGGCTATAGTTTGTGTGCTTTGGCCTGCGTTCTGGCACCACTGAAACTCAAGCGCTACATTTGGGAACCCATAAACCCCCACAAAAAGCCCCACTGTCCTACATATGTGAGACAGACGGCAACAGACAGGAAGCAGGGATCTAAAACAAGGACAACATATTGACAGCAAGTCAGGGGTAGGCGGTAGGGTGGGGACAGTGCTGGACATTATGAGAGGGGTCACCGCCTCTTTCTTTAGACAAGTTCCCTTGTTCTTTAAGGGGAATAAAAGGGCTACTGTTGAAGCTCAATGGGATGGGGTACAGGGATATCAGCTGGTTCTATTTTTAACCATGGATTTCATCCTTTTTAGCTATGTTCACACACAACAAATGCACACAAGGCTA